AAAAACCTCAGTTGACTTGCAGGGTACACACACACCCCACACACACATGCCCAAACACAGAGCCGTGTTTGTGAGCAGGAAGGAGGAAGGAAAAAAAAAATCCCCTTTGGCTTAATTACTCTCATTATTAGCATATTTCAGGCTAATCAGCTATGCTTTCAAGGATGCCCTGTAGGCTTTCCTTGATTATCACAGGGTAGGACACATGAAAGGCACGGAGACCTGGCAAAAATCAGACATGGCAGGCAGGGGGAACGGCTAATGAAATTGACAACGGCGCTTTAGGCCTCTCCCTGGCTCAGCTGGCATCTGGGAAGAGCGGGTTTTCCCCGCAACTCGTGGCCCTTCAAAGGAATTGAAAGTCCCAGCCAAGCCCAACTTTCCAACCATATGGCGAGAGAGACTTTTAAAAGAGTTCTCTCCGGGCGCTGTCCGAGGTGCTGCTTTCCTACCTCTTATTGAGAAAGACATTTTTTTTAGCGAAGAAGACGGCGTTTATTTTACGGATGGATTAGATTTTTGTCCCTTGGCAAGCAGCTCAAAGAGGTGAACATACACCCTGTTCCTCCTCCTCCTCCTCCTCCTCCTCCTCCTCCTCCACAACTCCTTGCTGCTCCTTCTCATCCACGGAGGCTGGTCAAGCAAGCCGGTCCAGCCAGCCCAGGAGAGGATGAGAACCCAGCCGTTGAGCCGAAGGAGTTGGAGAAGGAATGGGGAGGACGGGGAGGGTGGGGGGGAGGCTCAAATTGGATTCCACCAGCCTTTGCTGGGCAGACCCCAAGATCTCTTGAAATGACACATCAAAGAAGGCCGGGAGAGACTGGCGGTTCCTGAGAGCAGCATGAGGCACCTTTTGTAAAGTGACAGCCTCAAAGCTGCCGAGGACGCCTCCAGCTGCGAGAGGCTGCGGGAAGCTTTTGACGCGCCTGCCCGGCGGGACTCTCAGACTTCCAAGAAGCGCGGAGTGGTTTCTTTCCCTTCTTCGGCTCTCGAATGCCTAGCGTGGCTTGCTTTAGAGCCGGCTTTGAGTCATCGGGGACCCAGAGAATGGCCTAATTGGGTCACTTAGTCCAGCCCTCACCTGTCTGCCACAGATCTTTTTCTCGGTACTCCATCCTGGACAGCTTACATCCTGGCTCCTTTGAAGAAAAGCTGTTTTCTCCTGGTTGGTGAAGAGTGAAAAAAAAGTTTCTGAGAATTATTAGTACCGCCGATCGGCCAACTTCTGGTTTTGTTTGCCGGCTGCTCAGCTGGGGGAAGCACAGTTGACTCCCCGGGGCTTTTAGGGGGCGAACTCGTGGGGTCCTTGGTGCTCTCCGAGCCTGGTGGTTTTCTGGCAGACATTTCGTTACCCAACTAGGTAACGTCATCAATGCGAGAAGGGGAGTGGGGTTTGTGGAGTGGAGGAGCAGGAGAACGGGGGAGAAGAGGAGAGGAGAAGGAAGAGAAGAAGAGGAGGAGGAGAAGGACAATGATTGTGGGGTCCTGGGTGCTCTCTGAGCTTGGGGGTTTTCTTGCAGACGTTTCATTACCCAACTAGATAACATCATCAGTACTAGAAGGGAGTGGGGTCTGTTGAGTGGAGGAGGAGGAATAGGAAGGGAAGGAGGAGGGAGAGGAGGAGGAGGAAGAGGAGGACTGTGGGGTCCTGGGTGCTCTCTGAGCTTGGGGGTTTTCTTGCAGACGTTTCATTACCCAACTAGATAACATCATCAGTACTAGAAGGGAGTGGGGTCTGTTGAGTGGAGGAGGAGGAAGAGGAAGGGAAGGAGGAGGGAGAGGAGGAGGAGGAAGAGGAGGACTGTGGGGTCCTGGGTGCTCTCTGAGCTTGGGGGTTTTCTTGCAGACGTTTCATTACCCAACTAGATAACATCATCAGTACTAGAAGGGAGTGGGGTTTGTGCAGTGGAGGAGAAAGAGAAGCGGGGAGAAGAGCAGAAGGAAGAAGAGAGGAGGAGGAGGATGAGGATGTGGTGGTCAATGCCTGTGGTGTCCTTGGTGCTCTCTGAACTGGGTTTTTTTCCCCCAGATATTTCATTACCCAACTAGATGACCTCACCAGGAGCTTCCTGTAGCTACTGTATAAATCCCACACTCTAGCGCTATTGATATTCCGACAGAAAAGAATATTTGCAGCTCAGGGCTGAACTGTTGGGCCTGTCAGACACGCTCCCTTTCCAATCTCGTTGTAAAAGGGGGTTTATTTTGTTAAAACCGTGAGAAACCGTAGGACATGTTTAAAAGGAGGAAAGAAAGAAATCAGTCAAAACGGACGAAGGCCGAGACTGCCGAGACGCTGCATTTGTGGCTAAGCCAAGCAGTTGGCGACGGTCGTGAACTCATAATTTAGCACAGCTCCGAGGAAACTTGGATATTTTACTCAACTGATAGAGAAACTTTCTCCGCGGATAGCCTGAGGCCGATCAACTGAATCTTGCAGTTGCCTGTTGGAGATGCTTTAATGTAGATGGGTCTCTTCTGACGACAACGGACGAGACTCCAGAGCAGAGCCCTCCGTCGTGCTGAAGCTGGCTCCTACCCAAAACTAGAGTAGCAATAGAATGTTTGTAGCTCAGGGTTCAACTGTGGGGGGGTCCTTGGGACTCTCTGAGCTGGGTTGTTTTCTTGCAGACGTTTCATGACCCAACTAGGGAACATCATCAGTGCAAAGGAGTGTAGAGTTTGCCATTGCACTCATGAAGTTACATAATAATGAAACATTTGCAAGAAAACCACCAAGTTCAGAGGGAAGGAAGGACCCCATAGTTCTTCTCTTCCTCTTCCCCTTCCACCTCCTCCTCCTCCTCCTCCTCCTCCTCCTCCTCCTCCTCCTCCTCCTCCTCCTCCTGCCCTTAGCAAACCCCACACCCTACTAGCACTGAAGATGTTACCTAGTTGGGTAATGAAATATCTGCAAAAAAACAGCCAAGCTCAGAGAGCACCAGGGACCCCCAAGAGTTATTAACTGGCCATATTTTTATGAATCTTCTTCCCTCCTCTTCATCCTTCTCTTCAATGTTTCCTAATAGAACACAAAGTTAGAAGGGAGTGGGATTTGCAGGGAGGAAGAGGAGGAGGAGGAGGAGGAGAAGTAGCTTGGTAATATCAGTGTTAGAAGGGAGTAGGGTGTGTGGAGAAGGAGGAAGAGGAGGAAGAAGAGGAGGAGCAGGAGATAACTCTGGGGTCCCAGGTGTTCTCTGAGCTTGGTTATTTTCTTACAGACATCTCATCACCCAACTTGGTAACACCATCAGTGCTAGAAAGGGTGGGGTTTGCTTTCGTTTTATATTCTAGTGGCTTGCCCTGTCTGATGTTGGCAGGCATGTCCTTTACTGTTAGCTTGCTTGTCTGAGTTGGCTGATTGGGATATTATTTATTTCTTGATTACGTCGGGTCTAATTCTCCTTAACCCATGTGTTCCTTCTCTGTCTTTCATGACTGTCTAGAACATTCCTGAAGATCTGTGGGCCCAGCTGATTGAGGAACGCATGAAGCTTGAGGACTGTCTCTGCAGCGTACGTACGACCGATAGCTTGGTGAATAGGGTTGACCCCACAAATATTAACACAGGGAATTGTGGAATTATCAATACAGGTAGTCCTCGACGTACACACACACACACCCCTAGTAAAGGAGCTTAAAAGTGGGAGGGAAATCCTGCAGAAATTGTAGGCTTCCTTACAACCGCCAGCCAGATTTATAGTGTGGGACTTGCAAGGCAAGCCCGTATATTACGCCGGGAAGAAAAATGTCAAAAGATTGTGTGAACTGGGCCTGCGGGCTACCGTTCCTTCGCTTTTCCTTTTATTTCTCCTCCCGGTGCCATTCGGCCGGCCTTAATTGCCCGGCTTTCGTCCCACCTCTCTGCCGGTTTTGTTGAGTTTTGTGTGCCGGTGGACACTCTGGGGTTTAGTGCTGTCACTTGGACCCTCCAAGGAAGCCCCTTCGTGTTGATCGATGGGGCTGCCAGGACCCCGGAGGGCTTGTTCCCCGATTGCAAATGCCGCTGGAATCACGAGCAGTCACAACAAGGCGGGGTGTGTGTCTTGCAGCACAAGGTCCACCGCAGCCGGCAGCTCGCGGGCCAAAGGTTTCGGCAAACTTGCGCATTACGGCTTATCAAATTGCTCTTCCTAGCATCTCCAGGCAACAAAATAAATGTATAGACGCCAAGAAAATTCTGTAGCCAGAAGCTACTTCAAAGCCAGCTTGGCTTTTGAAGTCGCTGTAAGAAGAGCAGGGAGCTGGTTTTAAAGAGTAGGCAACTCAGAGTGTATTATACAGGTAGTCCTTGACTTAAGAACAATTCAGTTAGTGACTGAATTTACAACAGCCCTGAAAAAAAAGGGACTTAACGACCCCTTTTTCACACTTACAAGCCCCCCTGGTCGCCTGATCAAAATTGTCAACTGGTTCCTATTTATGACGGTCGCAGCGTCCCGGGGTGTGTGTGTGTGTGTGTCCCGCGATCCCCTTTGGCGGCCTTCTGACAAGTCAAGTCAACGGGGGAATCCCGTTCCACTTAACGACCGTCTTGCTAACTGAACAACTGCGGCGATTGACTTCGCCACCGCGGCAAGGGAGGCCGTAAAGTGGGGCAAAATCACCTCCCGGGTTTCCTTTAGCAACGGAAAGGTGGGGCTCGGTTGTGGCCGTAACGCGAGGACTCCCTGCAGCTGGGTGATTTATCTAAGAAGGGGCTGCTGCCCCCGTAGCTTCTTCCCGACGGAAGTCTTGAGCATCCGAAGATGCCAGTAATGACTCTTTAATGGCGACCCATGGGGGAGCAATGGTCGATCTATAACTTAGGTTGCCTCCTTCCACACCCCACTGTTTCATCTCTCTTTTCCCCCCCATCCCTTCCTCCGCTTCTCCTCCTCCTCCTCTTCCTCCTCCTCCTCCTCCTCCTCCTCCTCCTCTTCTTCTTCTTCTTCTTCTTCTTCTTCTTCTTCTTCTTCTTCTTCTTCTTCTTCTTCTTCTTCTTCTTCTTCTTCCTCTCC